TTCTATTGCCAAAAATAAGGTATTGATAGTACCTATGAGATCATTAGGAGGATGTAATGCATCAAAAGAAAGCACTCAGCACAATGCCTGGAATGGTAAATATTGCCACTGTTATTACTATGCTTTTCTGAATTCCATTCATTACCTAATTTAGTGTCTTATGCATACTTTTTAAGGAACACATGTTCATAATGTTTAGGTAATGATGATGATTAAATTATTCAGCAAATAATTGTCGGGCATACTATTTGTCAAATACTAAGGTATGGTTAGAACAGAGTCATTAATTAAGACATAATTTTCTGTCCCCTTTGAGAAGCTTTTGCATTACTCAGATGTTAGATTAAAAATTGCAATGAACCACTATTGATTCTGTCTTGTGGCTAAACACTAAATATATATTTTTTAAATGCAATAATAATAATGATGGATAAGGATCTAACTGTTAAAGTTGCAGTGTTTTGGGAAATATTCATTCATCCTCTTGCTCAATAAACATTTATTTATCAGGAAAATAGAGTCAAGGTAAGCAATAACAGCACGCAAAGTAATAACTATGCTGAAATAAAATATGAGTGAGCCTCAAAATGGGAGAGAAATGACAGCAAATTTTTGTGGACATGCAACACATTTCTAAACACTTCTAAAATATTTCACCCATATATAAATCTAAAGAGCCTGCCTATAAAACCACACATGATGTCAGGATAAGCTTCTACAAGTTGATGAAAGTCTGGGCTGTGGGTATGAGCATGGATTTCAAGTAAGAATGAGACTGAAGTCCTAATTACCACTTATTAGCTGTTTGACACTGAAAAAATTATAAACCTATTAAAATAGCTGCCTAGAACAGTGCCTGGCAGGGTAATGCCTCAGAAAGTGGCTGTTGTTATGACAGGTAACAATTAACACTGCACTCAAGTTGCATGGAAAGTGCCAAAATGTGTCTTCCAGACCACAGGCAGCACAAACACTTCCTGAGAACCCTTGCCCTGACTTTCATGGATTATGTAGCGCGGCTCTGTGCTATGCTCTTAGGTTGAGTCACTGAGACACCTGTTTTGTTTTTTTTTTTTCTTTTGGTTGTTGTTTAATCTGGTCTACATTTTAATCAAAGAATATCTGTATTATCTGTATGGTGTATGGCTCAAGAAGTTAAACTCACTTAAAGACATCAATCCTGTATTTTCAAAGAAACTCTTTTGCTATTTTTGTAGTTTACATTTTTGTTTATTTGGTTTTGTTCTAGTCTGAGGATGTGGGGTGACTTCTAATACTAGACTGCAGGTTATTTTAAACTTGTGTATGTCACTCCACAAAACCTTCACAAAAAATATTACACAGACCTTTCCATAATCTAGGCAAGTCCTTTGAATACCTCCTAGATAATAATCTAGAACATTTGATGATTATTGAGAATTTTAGAGCTAAAATTTTTTCTCTGTGGATCATTTGTGTATTCCAACACCAACTCTAGAAACCTTATTCTACCAATAAAGTTGATGTCTAATAAATATTTGTTAATGGATTTATTTTGCTGGGTGATTGCACTCTGAGGCCTCATATGGTATCTTCATGCACAGCTGTGTAAACTCCATTGATAAAACTAAAGCTTGCCACATTGCAGGAGTAATAAGGAATGAGTAAGCCAAGGACCTCGTCTCTAACGTGTCATCCACCAAACAGTTGTAACATCTTACTGACATAAAAGGAGCTTCAGGAGAATAAGGGTAATATGACAAAAAAGCAAAATCACATACTTAAAGGATTGAAAGAAAAGGAATAGTAAAAGTATCTAAAAGTATGTGCCTGTTAATAAGGGGAGGAGAGAAAGAACTAGAGAGATCATTTTCAAAATGCAAGTAAGAATTAAATGCAATTTCATAAAGTGCCCATGGTTTCAGCTCTAGTAATATAAAATTTCAAATCAACATGCTAGGAAGCTGATGCACTTAAATTAGACCCCTAGATACGCTTCTAAGTATAACAAGCGACCTTACTGCTTTAGACAGACACACTGGGAGAAGGAGGAATTGCTCTGCCGCCGCTAGCCTATGACAACTGTAACTATCTCCTATGTCCTCTAGGGAGAAGGAGGAATTGCTCTGCAGCAGCTAACATATGACAATTTGAACTGTATTTTCTCTGATCTGTACAACACAATCACAACAGGAGGAAACTGAAAATCGCATCTTATCATATTAATCTCTGGTCATACTTGCTCCACAAAATAATTTTGGAAAAATTAGCTTGTATGTTAGAGTTCTCAGCAAATCTGCTGCTTTTCATTTCTGATATGGAGATGATTAGTTTTATAGAAAAATGGATTGACTGGTCTTCCTACCTTCTTTCAATCCTAAGCACTTTCCAATTTAGATCTAAACTCATTCTTTGTACTCAGGTAACAGACGGAAGCAGAAATGGCATTGTATATCCTCTTTCTTGCCTAAACCTAAATAAGCAAATGAAGTGACAGAAAAAAGAATACACCTAAACTCTTTCCGGGGTTGTTAAAAATGTGATTTCCTGCGGAGGATTTTGCATGGGGGTTCCCAAAAGTCTCTTTATTTCTCTGTCTAATTTTCTAGCTTTTTGATTGCTTCCTTCAATTAGTGTCCAGCCAAAGCCTTCCAATTTTGACTCTTACCTAGAGGGAGAAAGAAATTAACTTGCAAAGGAAAGGTAAAGAAGAAGAGATGGAAAAGAGAGAAGCTGTTCCAAATGCCATATTTTCACAGAAGCTGTCCAGAGAAAGAGAGTAGGTCTTGCTATCATCAATGATAAAAGAAACTCCATTCCCCATGACTGTCAAGAGGCCTTGGCCTTGCTTTAGAGAAATCAAATCCTGGATGATTTTACAAAGCTTGAAAGGTGGCATTGAGCAGGAATACACCTTTGAGATCAGAAGGAACTCCTCCTCCTCTCTTGAGCTTAACTCAGCACAAAGGAAAAAGCTGATATTCTGGATTTCAGCTCTCACTCTGTTCCACTCTCACCTTACATGTACTTAATTCGCAGTGGACTGGACTCCCATTTCCTGAGGGAAGCAAAGAGGATGTTTTGTTTTGGGTTTTGCTTCTGTTTCTACCTTCTATCTTACTACTTCCCTCAGCCCATATAGAAGCAGATCTGAGAACTGGGTACTTTAGTTGAGTAATTCAAAGACTTGAGTGGAAAAATATTTTAGCGGCAAAGCTTAGATCGAAAAGTTTATGCTTTTTCTTTGGTAGATGGTGACTGTAGTGAATACACAGCTGTAGAGAAAAAAGATTTGTCCTTCAAACGCACAAAAGCAGACACACACACATGCACATATAAGCGGAGTGGAATATCTGTCCAGTTTTCTTATGCCTTATTTCCTTTCTGAATTTCTGATGCTGTGTATGGCATGCTCCACTCCTGTTTTTAATCTTGTATCACTTTTGCAGACTCCTGAGAGTGCTTGATGAAGTAGGCTTTTTACCCACCATCCAGCTGACAGCTCTCACACGCTGTAGCTAAAGGGACTGTTATCTTCAGATAAAGTAGAAAAATGCTAAGGAGTCCTTGTGGTTTGAATGTAAATTCCCACATGTGCCTTTAATATCCTGAGGATAATTAATTATAATGGGATATTTTAAGCAATAAAAAATTAAAGTTTTTAACATATTATATTATTTTAAAACATGGAGAAAGATGGACCTGTCAACATATCATGTATTTCTATCCCTTCCAATGAGAAATTTGTAGAGAGGCCATTAGAAAAAGAAACAAGATACTCTTACAGTAATTCATTAATTTATTCACCACGCAATAATTCCTTTAACAACTTCCTTTACTTACGTGTCAGGCAGCATGCTAGTTAAGACCAGGACTAAGGTGAGTAGTGTAAGACATTCACCACGGTGCAAAGTTGAAAGGGACACCAAAAAAACTCAGTAATCAAGATAAATAATATTTCAATGCAATATTTAAAAAATAACATGGCCGGGCACAGTGGCCCACGCCTGTAATTCCAGTACTTTGGGAGGTCAAGGCAGGCGGATCACCTGAGGTCCTGAGTTCGAGACCAGCCTGGCCAACATGGGGAAACTTCGTTTCTACTAAAATACAAAAATTAGCCAGGCATGGTGGTGTGTGCCTGTAATCCCAGCTACTCAGAAGGCTAAGGCAGGAGAATTGCTTGTACCCAGGAAGGTGGAGGTTGCAGTGAGCCAAGATTGCACCACTGTACTATAGCCTTGGAGACAGAGTGAGACTCTGTCTCAAAGAAAAAAAAAATGAGAAAGAATTCATGATTGATTAACAAAATATCAAAGTTACATAAAAATAGTAAAAACTAGCTATGGCAAGGCCAGAATTTTAGTGACATGAATGAGATGAATTCATGCAGGTGCAGAGTCAGATCTCGTCTTCATCCAAAACACTGATTCTTTTTCAACATTAATTTTTTCATTAACTTTTATTTCTGAAAATATTGGATCAAAATATTCTATAGCTTAATTTCTGAAATTTTGGTGCCCTTTTAATTTTGCTCTCAAAGTAAATACCTCAATTTTTTTATTCTAGTGTTGAGTCCCCTCTTTAATCACCTCTTCCTAAATTCTACACCCTAGGATCAATGGTAACAAGCGAGTTTCCTCAGTGTAAAGAGCCGCTGGTTCCTGGGAATGTAACAGTTAAGAGGATTCACATCCTCTGATTTTCATTCTTAACAGCATTTTTTTTTCTGAATTCTTTAGGCAAGATTCAATTGCAACAAAAAACTATTTTTTACTTTTTTTCTTTTCTTTCTTTTTTTTTTCCTTGAGACAGAGCCTCACTTTTGTCATTTGGGCCGGAGTGCAATGGTGCGATCTCGGCTCACTGCAACCTCTGCCTCCGGGGGTTCCAGCAGTTCTTCTGCCTCAGCCTCCCAAGTAGCTGAGATTACAGGCACCTGCCTCCATGCCCAGCTAATTTTTGTATTTTTAGTAGAAACGGGGTTTCACCATGTTGTCCAGGCTGGTCTCGAACTCCTGACCTCAGGTGATTCACTAACCTTAGCCTCCCAAAGTGCTGAGATTACAGGCATGAACCACTGCACCTGGACAGACTATTTCCATAGTAAAGCAATTTCTCTGTCCTCATTGTAGAGGAAAGTTTTGAATCTCATGTATGGTCACATTATAGCCTTAAATATATTCACATCCTTCACAATGTGTGTCTTCATTTTGAGTTAGAAGAATGTTAGCCATACTCAGAGCTTCTCTCTAGTTTCTATATGAAGGACATTATGACACATCGTTTACAATCTTACATCTTCATACACTAAACATGTGCTTTCAGTTCAGCAACCTACAGTGTCCAGGAGCAGAACGATGCTGAATGGTGTTCAGTACACATTCCTGCATTTGGCATTTGTCCCTCTAGAGTTCCCATGCTTCTCCAACAGAGTTTCCTCTGGGCAAGTCAAGAACCACATAAACACTAACATGGAATAATGTACTAATTTCAAAATATGGCTTTAAGGAGCTCTGCTACTACAAGTTGGGCAGTGTTGAATTGCCAACTAATCCTGCTGGGCCTTGGTTATTACAGTTGCAAAGTGAAGATATTATAATAAGTGAATGCACACGAACTGTCCAGCTCTACCATTCCGCTTATAATATGGGATCTTGCAGGTATTCTACTATTTATGAAACAAATTTTACATAGGTCTGGCTAATCATACCTGGGAAAAAGTCTTGTAAAGTGTGGGCTATTAACTAAGCACATTATGTTTAAACAAGAGTTTTGCCTAGCCAATTAAGGCTGATATTTAAAAAACTACTACCTTGATGTCAAAGAAAATCAAAGTCAGATAAGTGCGTTGATCAAGACGTATATTGAACATCAGTGTCTACTTCAAATTAAAAGGATAGAAAAACAACCCTGGCAAGTTCCCCATTACTAAATAGAGTCTTTGCCTTTCCTCCTTTTTTTCAAATTATTTTTGCCAATACTGTCAACTTCACAAAACTTACTGTAGAATTTCTCCCATTTCTAGCACTGGTGATCCTATGATTCTGCAAAGAGTAATGAAACTTCATAACTAAAAGCCTTTTAAGTCATTTAATTTGAGACTTAATTTCTTGCTAATTTATTTTTGTCCAAATTAAAACCATCTGGGTATGCACTAGGATGAATTTGGTACTTGTAACTATTTGAACACAAGCTTTTGTAAATAAGAAACTCTTCTCAAGTGGTGAGTGACTATTGCTTGAATACATATAATGCAAACATATTATCAGGGCTTTATTATTTGACTCAGAAGAGAGTGTTTTCCCTTTTCTTGTAAGTAAAATAATGATACATATCCCACCATATTAAAGCTTAAATAAAGTGGTAGCCAGTGGAGTACAATCTCTAGAAGTACTTGTTTGGAAGCAGGAGATCCAGATTCTTCATAGTCAGCACCAGGAGCAATGAATCCAGGGACCTGGTGTACTTCTCAGGGTACAGCAGTGCTTGTGTGTTTAATCTTTCTTTACCTTAACTTGGGCTCTCCCAGTCCTGTGAAGGAAGGTTGTCAAAGAGCAGAGAAATGGCCAGGAGGCATGCACAAGAAAATCCTTGCATTCCTGAGCAGATCATGATTTCTTTTCCACCTGGGTCATGTGGCTGTCTGCAGAGGGAAACAAATACATGTACAGGTATATTGAACATACATAGATATAGAAATATCTAAAATGGGTTATTCCTTTAAATGTGTGTAAGGTCTCTTTACTTAAAAACACTGTTGGCTGTGCATGACAGTTAAAAGGCAAGGTCGTAATTGATAAAATCTGTCACATTAAATGCTGGAAACTAGAAGATATGCTTGGTAATTTCCTGGAATTTACTTTTCTACAAACTGTTCCAAGGAGTAAACCTTTCCTAAGCTGATCTTCCTCAGTTGTTGGTGAAAGAATATTAAGTTAGGAAAGATCTTTCTAACTTGGCATAAGCAAGGTCACTGGCTTGTCTTTACTACCTGAAACCTACAAGCAGGTGGAACTCTGCTAATTTCAGTTGCACACAGTGGTGCTACTGTGTCAGGTACAAGAGGATTCTCCTCTTCTCCTTTCCCTTAGTGCTTTAATGGAAACAGCAACATCTTCTAAGAAAAGGTTTGATTTTTTTCAATCTGCTATTCAGATAATAAAAATAGAAACCATGTTATTAAGAAACATTAATGACTAAAATGTACTGGAACAACCAGTATATCTACCACCTGAATTGTCTGTCTTTGAGAGCTCTGCTGAAGTTCATGTTCTGGGCTATGTTAATCAAAGGCCAACCACATTTTGAAAGTCTAAGAATACAAGGTGATTAGAAGGCTTCTCTTTTGACAACGAAAATGTAAGTATGAAGGAATTATCAAGTTATTCACATGCCATCTCCTCTTCTTAGGATTTGTATAAGACATTGTAATGTAGTTTGGATGTTTGTCCCCTCCAAATCTCAGGTTGAAATTTGATGGCCAATTGTTGGAGGTGAGGCTTATTGGAAGGTGTTTAGGTCATGGAAGAGGGATCCCTCATGGATGGCTTGGTGCTCTCCCCATGATAATGAGCTCACAAAAGATACAGTTGTTAAAAAGAGTCTGGAAACTACCCCCTCTCTCTTGCTTCCTCTCTCGCCATGTGATACATTTGCTCCTTTTCCCTCCCATGACAACTAAAAGCTTCCTGAGGCTTTGCCAGAATCAGATGCTGGCACCATACTCCTTGTACAGTCTGCAGAACCATGAGCCAAAATAAGACTCTGCTTTATAAATTACCCAGTCTCAGATATTTCTCTATAGTGATGAAAAATGGAATAAAACATATCAATGTAATTTCCTCAGATAAAAAAAGTAAAATCTGATTTGGAAGTCAGTTTGTACTGTGAGATTTTTGTCAAATAAATATATTCAAATAAATAAATTCAAATCATCCATAAAATGGGTATAATAATAATTTACCTCAGGATTATTTTTAGTAGAAATCATCAAATAAAAGTTGGTAATCATCTCTTACCTTTAATTTTTCCTTTGCACTTATACTGTAGTTTAAAGTTATATCACATCATCACAAAGAAAAAGCAAGAAATATAATGTTAGTGAGTCTATCAGTCATGGTCTAGTCAGGAAAACAGAAATATTCTGAATATTTCACATAGAAGTGATTTTTTAAAACATGGAATTGGTTGCAAAGATTTTCATTGAGTGAACTAAAGGGAAAAAAAAAAAGCACTATCCAGAGTTCAGAAATATGCATTTGCTATTGAGGTTGCTGTCAATGCCACTGTAGCGTGTGGTCATCTGCCACTCCTTCCCCTGCTATTCCCAGATCTGCTGACTCTGCTGGAAGTCATAGTCACCCATAGTCACCTGCAATGGTTGACTCTTGCTCCCACTGTTGGCCAGAAGCAGAAACACATTCTCTTTCTTTGTCCTTGCAATCATACTGAAATGCTTCCTACTGGAAAAATTTAATAGGAACTAATTAGAAAGAGAGTTTTTGGGAATGCAATTGCAAGATTCCAGCCTCCTCAATACAGAATAGGTCACAAAAAGAGAGGAAGGAATGGCTGAACACCAGCAGGCGTTACCTACAAGAATAAATAGTCATGTTAGTTATCACTCTAGCACCAGGAAGCTGGCAATAATTCTGTTTCAAAGAGATGGACTGTGGTTATTTTCCCTTGCTTGCAAAATCACATGTAAATACCACAAAAGGTATAATGGAAGTGAAAATGAGAACAAAATCTGTGATGGTTAATTTTATGTGTCAAGTTGACTGAGCCACAGGGTGCCCAGAGATTTGGCTAGACATTATTCTGGGTATGTCTATTAGGATGTTTTTGGTTGAGATTAACATTCGAATTAGTACACAGGGTACAACAAATTGCCCTCCCTCATGTGAGTGGACCTCATTCAATCTGTCAAGGTCTAAATACAACAAAAGCCGGAGTAAAAGAGAACTGGCTCCTTCTGCCTGATCATCTTTGGGCTGTGACATAGGTCTTTTTATGCCTTAAGCCTCAGACTTGGACTGGGACTGAAACCTACACCATCAGCTCTCCTGGTTTTCCAACTTGTTGACTACAGATCTGAAAATGTCTCATATTCTATAATCACATAAGTCAATTCCATAATATATATATACATCTATAAATACATAAATATATACATATATAAATGTATATATAAATACATAAATATATATATGCACTTTATTACTTAACTCTAAATTTATTATATGTAAGACATTTATCAAAGGAAAGTTTATAAGAATGAGTTCTTCTTGGTCCATCTATTGGTCTTGGCAGAGAAAAAAATTCTGGCTCAATTACTAGGATAAGATTTAGAAGAATTAGTCTGGGCATTGTGGTTCACACCTGCAATCCCAGCACCCTGGGAGGCCAAGGCAGACGGACAGCCTGAACTCAGGAGTTCAAGACCAGCATGGGAAACATGGTGAAACCCCATCTCCACAGAAAACACAAAAAAAATTAGCCAGGCGTGGTGGCACAGGCCTGCAGTCCCAGCGACCCAGGGGACTGAGTTGGGAGGATCACGTGAGCCCGGGAGGCTGAGGCGGCAGTGAGCTGAGATCAACACACCTCTGCGTTGCTTCCAGCCCGGGTGACAAAGTGAGACCCCGTCTCTAAACTTCAGTGTGATGTAATGATGGTCCATTTTACTTCACTTTATGGCATGGGAAGGGTTTCGTTGTTTGGAATATGGTTTTCTTGCTTGAAAGTCTGGCCACCAATTAGCTGAGTCCTCTACTCAGGATATCACTAGGCTGACCTCAAGGTACTGGTAGGGGCTACTGTCACAACTTCAACTCCAGGGTCCTCTTCTAAGCTCACTAGTTTCTTGCAGTTATATGATCAATAACTATTCTCTTGCTTGCTGTTTGCTAGGGACTACACTCAGCTGCTAGAACTTACCTTCAGGTCCTTGTCCTACAGCCTCTTGCATAGAACCTCCCACCACACAGTATCAGTTGGGGTTCTTCAGCTAAACAGAACAGAGAAGATATCTTGGTACTGTTTAGCTGGAGAACCCCAACTGATACTAATACAGAATTCATTCATAGATTAGAAATGTTGGTAAGCTCCTAGAAGAACGAATGTACATAGAATGATATTAGTGAATAAACTCTACAGAAAAGATTGTACTTCAAAGTCGCACACAAGTCAATCACACTGGGAAAGACAGTTATCTTCACTTAGAAGGGCTCAGCAGATTCAGCTGATGTCAAAGCCAGAAAGCAGGAAGGAGCTTTAACCAGGTTAATCACTAATGGCAGGTGTGTGAAATTGCTTGAATAAATTATTCTTCCCTGTTTTCTGTATAAAAGAAAGTAAACTGTTGTTCAAGAAAGGCATGGCCTAAATATGAAGCTAAGTAAAATTCGGCATGACTTCACACCAATCATGGAGTATGCAGCAGGAAACACTATTTGACTTTAAACGTGGAACATTGTTTCTCAAGTAAAAAGCTGAATAACAGCAATCATATTTATTTTCCTGTGAGTATAATTACACTATTTGGTTCTTGCAATACAAACATGTTGTAAATACTTCTTACTGGTTTTCAACCAACTTAAAGTAGAAAACTTTATTACAGTTACAAAGAAGAATACATGAAATAAACTTTGGCCATGAAAAAGCAAAGGTACAACCAACCAAGGTTGAGAGGGAGATACAGAAAAAGAGAAGCAGGAGAAAATGCTTGTGTATTTATTTTCTCATCTAAGACAGTGTAAAGGCAATAGAGTCTGCCTAAAATTGATGGGTTAAGAAACATATATTTACGTATGTTTAACAATTGTAATGTTAACCATCAGAATAACTAAAAGTAAAAAGAATGAACGAATGAAAGAGGAGAGTGAAATAGAGCTAGATTCCTCATTCCTCATCTTTCGTATTTGGAAGTAAAAAGTCTGAAGTTTGTATCTAACCACAAAAAAACAATATCAGAAATAGTTATACTTTGTAAGGCTGTAGTTGGTAGAAAGAGATTTTTAATTTTTAAAAAATTTAAATCTTAATACTTTTATTATTTATCTTGTGCACCTACTATAATTTTGGAATATAAATAAATAAATAAAGGGAAACTTCCTTGCCAGTGGAGGAGGTGCAGGGAGGGCTCTGCACAGCAGCAGCCTCCTTTGACCTAGCTCAGTGTTTAATTACAGTGATTCTAGGAATGCAGAGCAACCACAAATGTAAATTAACATCAGAGATAAACGCTACTGTCTGATGAGATGGAACCAACAGCATAGGTGTTACCAGGTACACTGTCCTAACCACTCATTTAGGAGTGAAATCTTTCCTAGGGAATTAGCTGTTACAACAGCAAAGAGACTTCAGGCTGGTTTGACCCTTTTCCCTTTCCTTCTCAGTGTTCAATTGTGATATTCATATTCAAAAGAATTACTGGAAAGACAAACATGAAACTTTCACAATAGAAAATACTCCTCAGTTTCTTACAGCAAAACATCACCATCAATCAGTCAAGTAAAAAATCAAACAAGCATATTATGTCTGACAAAGTTATAAGGTCAAGAAGTCACTTTGGTTTTACATTAAGAAATCAATCAGATTGGCAGCACTTTTCTCACTTATAGTTGAGCATGCACAATAAGGAGAATGTTCCCTTGTATAATACTCTACAAAAAAAGATATTTGAAATGAAGTCTCAGCTTTTGCACTGTGAGAATTAGCCCTTTCTGCACTGGCATGCGGGTCCCGTTTCTGCCAATCCCCAGGATCTTGCAACAGCTCAAGTTTCTAAGGCATTCACTTCTTTAACTAATGCAAAGAAAATTGTGAGCAGAATTGTCATGAGGTCTAAACGTTAGGGTCAAAATGTTGGTGTTCCAATGGCAAGTCAATGTATCATTCTTGATCATCATCCTGTTCCCATTGCCTTCACTTCCTTAAATTAAACCTTAGCTCAGCAAGTTCTTTGACAGTTTATAATCTAGACCGTCCATAATCATTTGCAAAAATATATTTTCAGTCCTTTCTTTAAGATAAAAGTCCATTACCTCCAGTCTCACCAAATTACTTTTCACTAGATGCATAGTGATCTTAGTGTTGAGCTTTCCAACAAGATTCAGAGGCCAGAACTCCCATTTCAAGTGGGTCTTGTCTGAAATTCTCACAAAAGTATCCAAACCCATTAACAAAACTAACATGGTTAGAACACCCTTGGAAATTCATATAGTCTTTAGAAAAACAAAACAACTCATTTTTAACCTTTAAAAATAAAAAAGACCAAAACCATAGCCTGTGCTGACCTATAAGCAACATAATTTAATTGCCTGTGTATGGAGAATTTCTAACATCTGAGATTCTTGGTGTTCTCACATAGCCAAGATTAATATCAGTCCATTCGGATTGGCTCCCCCATCCCCATGGATGGAAGTGGGCTTGTAAATACGCTGGATGAAGAAATTTCCCAGTGTATCAAAGTTACCAAGCCAGCTGTGCAAAGTCACTTTTACCCGGATACAGTAGAAATATTACAGATTTCCGTCAGGCTTAACCATTATATGTATCCTGTGAGCTCTGGGATCTGGGCCAGATTACAGAAGATATGATGAGTTTGCTGGACAGTGGGTAAGGATGCTCCCAAGTATGGTAGAAGATGTTTTATTTTGAAACTTACCAGTTCCAATTCTTTGTCAGCACAAACAAGAATGCTTGGCCTTTGTTGTTTATCAGAACATACACGGCAGTAATAACCACAAAGCTTAGAGAATTGGGGGTTTGGTTTTCCATTTAATTTAATTTGATTTTCTGGTTGACTTGGTATTAAACAAAGAAACAAAAGCACTTTCTTTATTCAAACCTTTTGAAAATGGAAAAAAGAAACTAAATTTATTGACTATTGTCTCAAATATTGTGGTAGATTTAAAAATATTATTTATCTTTACTGTGTCTGTATTATTTTTATTTTTATAGAGGAAAAAACAGCCACAGAAGGATAAAGCCAGTTGCTCAAAACCACGTTAGTGTTGAGAAAATATAAAATTAAAACTCAAGTCAGTCTGCCTACAACAGACCGTGTCCACCTAATATTTTTACCTGAAATTCTATTTCCTTATATGTGTGGATTTTAAATAATTAACATATTTGAACTTTTCTCAAATCAGTATTTTTGAGCATCTGTTGAATGCTAATCTCTGAGCTCACTGTGAAAGACAGAAAGGTGAATTCTATGTATTAATGGCTTCCAGAAACATTCAGTGGAATAGCTGTTACTTAGTCATAAATGTTTAGAATACAGAGTGCTTATCTCTATGCAACAGTTGTTTTCGTGGCACTATAGGGACAAAGCAGCAAGAGTATTACCACTAACTGCAAGTGGGAAGATGGCATCAAAACAAGCTTCAACGAAGCCACTTCAGTTGAGTTTATCAGTGAGAAAGTTATCACCCCATTGAAAGGAACATTAGTT